TAGGACTACTCGGAATTATCAGAACAAACAAATTTGCCCAAACTATCAGTGCAAGTATCTCGCATAATGATATTACATGAATGTACCGACAATTATGATGTTCATAGGTTCTCAGCACGACTGATGGCATCCCGCGGATCGACATTCTGACTGCTTACATGACCACTCCAGACATACGCTTCAAACATCTGGTATTCCGTCGCTCCTTTTGTCAGAGCTAACATTTTGCTTTTCTGTCTTCGTCAGTGGCCACGCCTCAGGTGCGTGCAATATCACCCTCAGCAAAATAATATTGAAATGGTATGGGTGATCCGCTGCACAAAATATATCAACGGTAGTACTGTGATTTAATTGCTGCTCTTTATAGTTTCTCCTGCGCACCATGCTACCTACCAAGCGGACTTTGATGCCGTTCTGCCACGTCACCTCACGTATCAGATTGCCAGGGATTGTTGTCCGCTCCGTAAAGACCATCGCCGCGAGAATACTCAGCAGTATATCTAGCCCACGCAGCAGCAGACCTAGACGCGCCTATGCTACTCGTTTGGATGCTCAAATTCCAAATTGCAAAGTTATTGGTATCCTTCTACTTGAGGACCAAGAAAACTAAAAAGCTCATGAACAAAGTCAGCCTCATACGCTGTATATCAGTCACCACCAGGAACGTTTTACTTCCCAGGCACGTAACAGTCAAACAAGAAAACCGTTAGAAAACTGTTACTGCTTAGGAAGTTTTCTGACCAATTAAGGAAATAAAAACACATATATCTAAGTGGCACAAACAGGCATGTGAGATTCTGATGTGCAAATTTTTGTTTTTCTTTTTTTTCGAAATAAAAGCAGATTAGAACATCATCAGAATAAGTGAACACATCAAATTACAAACAATAAACGTTTCGACATCAAGCAATCTCAAATTTTGGGAATTGAAGACATTTTCATGGCGTTTTATGAAAACTCTGTTAAATCAATGTATTTTTATTGTTTTTCTAGTTTTTCAGTGCTAGGTGGAGTTCGGACGGTCAAAGCATCAGCTGCAATAATTCGCGATGCCGGCGAGTCTGGGCGCTCCACAATGAGTTGAGCTGATCCAGTCGACAATCCCTGCAATTTTTCGAACAACTTTTTTACACACCCGGAAAAATTTTCTCAAAAACAATGTATAAAGTTCTGGAGTACCAGCTAACCAATGCTTCCAAGAAACTGATAAATTCATTACGATGATAAAGTGTTGCTTCGTGCCAATACACCTGTTATCCGTCCCTAACCATCTTTAGTTTGGTTCTCAATCGGTTCATCGACATTCTTTCTCGTGG